TTTTATGGCACCCAAAGTTACTGATGTTAACGTTTATGGTGTCAAATCGTACAGCTAGGAGTTATCTTTCAAACAGGGTCAGATTGAACCCACAAATTTATTAACAATAGTACGAAGAAAATCGTCAAACAAAACACATTATAAACATGAACAAAGAAATTTCATTGAACCATCACCATTGGTCTGAACAAGCTATGCATAAAAAGAAATAGAAATATAAATTTTAAGCGCTAGGAGCTCACACAATTATCCTGTAAATATAAGCGCTGTAAATGCAAAAGTTTTTGTGTCTATAAAATAACATCACACATAGTGACTTTCATGCCACCAAGCGAAGCAGTTTCGCGATGCAGTAAAACACAGGTTTGCTACACATGTTTCACAGAAAACATTTGCTTTCTGTTGAACGTTTCTTTGTTCATAACATAATTTACAGTTCCTCATTTTTTTTTTCTTTGGCTGGTGCCGTTAGCCCTAAGAAGCGTTTCATGTAGGAGCATCAAGATGGACTGTAGGACCTCCAAGAACTGTCTCTCTCGCTGTACGTCGGCTTCTGAAAAGTATGCTTCCAAGCATATTTATTTGCTCTTTTGCATAGGTCTCCGAATAACTTGAACAGTAAAAAACAAAAATCTGAAGCGCCACACAGCACTGCATAACGTGGCTCCAAGGTTCACTCCCAGCTGCCTCCGCGCATGAAACTGCACTCCCTGCGCTGCCGCCGGCAAGTAGTCCCGCCTGAAAAAAGTGGATGCCCTGCAGATAAGAGGTGTAACCCTCGGAACACTTCGGGTCGACTTACACCAACGTGCGCCGACAATAACGTGTCTCGAGCACAAAGCTAAAGTCGCCTGTGGATGACCACTGATGTTTCGAGGCAGGTTTGATGAACTCTCGTTGTCCGCACTGAAATCAAAAGTCTCGATGTCATCTTCTGAGCCTGTGCTGTTGTCATTTGAATATTTCAGCCCAGATGCATGAGAATCCTCCGAAATTTGCCGTTTTCGTGAAGCGGTCACACGCGACGTCGACCCCATTATTAAAATTATGCACGCTCACTCGTGCGCATGGAAAGGCCCTTTAACTCTTTCCTTACCATAGAAAACTGGCCTTTTCAATGTGTGTCTACATGATATTTTTTTTATCAGAAACTGTTGTGTGTACAATGGGTTATTCTATATTAAAATGTAGCCCATTCACGTGTTTTTCTAGTGCAATAAAATTCATAGTAAACAACCTAATATTGTTTCATAATTTATTTCTGAAATTCGAGAAAAACTGAAGAAAGTGTACAAGAGAAGATATAAAATTGCTGTTATTACATTACAGCATTTAGATTAAAACAAAACTGAATTATACAAATCGTAGCTTATAATATCAGGAGTAATATTTCCAAATTTGAACATTCTAGGATAAAAAGTATATTTTTAGCGGGCTCTCATCTTAGCGCCCATGACGCATGTGCCACTTGGAGAAGCAGTTGCGCGTGGTGGTAAAGCAGAGATGTGCTTCACAGGTGCTGCAAAGAACATTTGTTTTTACTTCCTTCTTAGTGTTCTCTTAGCACAACTTGCAGTTTCTTTGGCTGTCAACCTTTTCCAGCTTGTGCCGAATCCAGTCGGGTGGCAGATAAGAAACTCTGACAGGTTGATCATTTAGGTTCAAAATTTCCTGGATGAGCATCTCTTGGAAAGAAAGCTAATCAAATCAGGAACTCAAATTTAGCTCAGGATTGTCGGGATGCTGTTTGCAATGCTCTTGAAAAAGAATAAAGGAATAAAGGAATAAAGGTACACAGGCTATGTCGATACAATGAAAGAACAGCGTTTTCCACCATCACTACGCATTTCCGAAGGACATTGTCTATGTCAATTATCTGGCCAGATTTGTCTACCCCCAACTTGCCTGCATTGTAGTCATGCACTAACGAGGGCTTCCTTATTGTTTTCTCAGTCCATTGGTTCCCCACTTTCATTGGTTCCCCACTTTTTGACGCCTTTTTACTGAAATGTGTTCATTCGCTGTGTGAATTAAACTCATTAGATTTACTGCCTTGCGGTCTTTCCACTGGAGAAACAAGATGTTTCCATCCCTGACCCACCGAATGTCCCCCCGCTCAGCCTTCCTTTCCCATTTTGTTTCTTTCAGATCACCAGGGAAGCCTCGGCGATCTTTTCTTGTCAATCCACATGCCAGCGTTTTGCATTGCAAGAGATGTTCAAATAGGTGCTTTGAGGTATAAAAATTGTCCATGTAAATTTTGTACCCTTGTTCCAAGTATTTTTCACAAAGTTTACTGACAACATCAAAAGCCAACCCATGTGGTCCTGGTGTCTCCCTCTTACTTGTGTAGACAAAGAACTGTGATGTGTACCCTGTTTCAGATTCAGCTAAAACCCACAATTTGTAACCACACTTTGTCACCTTATCATGAATATATTGCCTAATTCCCGATCTTGCTTTCGATTTCACCATCTTTTCATCTACTGCAATGGCTTCCTGTGGCTGGAAAAATCGGGCCGACACCTCATTGATATGTTGAAGCAGTGACCACACCTTCCGCAGTTTTTCGGCTGATGCAGTACTCTTATCCTCCGGATCAGAGATGTGCAAGAAAGCGAGGAGAGAAAAGAAACGCTTTCTACTCATGATTTGCGCGCGAAGGAGACCACCGTATATTGACCCAGTGTTCCAGTGCATATGAAGGCGTGGCACTTGCACGATACCCATGTAAATGAGGAGTGCAATGAACCGCAACATCTCCGGCGGCGCGACATCAAGCCAAGAGCCGTCTGCTTCTGCGTGTGTAGCTGGGTTTTTCGAAAACTTTCATCCAAGCGTACTTGTTGGTGTATTGACCGACAGTTGAGGCCAATTCAGCAGTGAAAAACATCATAAACATGTCCAGTGTGCGGATAAAACTTCGCGTCTCGCTCGGGCACGTCACTTCCAGATGTATGCCAAGTGTTTAGGTAAGAACTTGACTCTGCATGCTGCATTCGGCAGAATATCGCCTCTATAGATAGTTGACACCCTAGTAAGAAAAAGTAAACAAGTGCCATCACTTACAAAACACGCTCACGTTATAAAAACAACATCGACATCTGAACCTACGCTTACTTTGACACACGGGTTGAAGATCCGGGCTGTGGAGATGAATCATCGCTGTCTGAGTCGAAATCTGATGATCCAACTTCTACAGAGTCCTCACTACAGCTCAAATCAAGATCATGAGCAGTAGAGGCAGCGAAATCGGCTTTCTGAAGTTTCTTCTTCAGCAGCGGGCGATGCGCTTTCGGAGCAATGTTGCGAAACACGGTGCTACCTCCTCCGTTGTCGTTTCTTTTTGCGCGGGAGCTCCCACTGATAGAGCGAAACAAAAAAGAAGTGTATAGTAGTTCTTGTATTTCTGGCCAGATGGCGCTAAAAGTCCGTGAGCGCGCATTTGTTTTTGGCGGGGCTTTTAAAACCATCGATCCATAGTGATCGATGCTCTATGGGACGGTAAGGAAAGAGTTAAAATCACCCCATGGTAAAAGAAGAGAAACACAAAAGTGAAACTGATTAAATACTTTTCTTTTATGCAGCACTAGGGGTCCAAAAGTGTTGGAAACAGGGCAAATATACAAGTTGTAAACTTCGTAAACATACTATCGATGGGTATAGGCACGGTGACGAAAATGTTAACATGCCATCCCGCATTGGATCTGTTTCTTTGGATTGTTTAGACTCAATCTTAACCATTTTATGTACTACCACTTTTGTTTAGGTCGATAAAAGAACAAGAATGTGGAATTATTTTGTGGCTTAATGTACTGCTGCGTTAGCCGTTGCTTACCTGTGGACTGTGTGTCTGATCGTGTCAGCAACCAAGGTTTTGTGCACAGTGGTTGGGTCAACAACATCGTTTCCAATCTGCTTGCACACTTGCCTTCAGAATTATGTTGTTTGTTGCTATCTGTGATCGCTTTATATTTTTTGTCTGCGGGGTTTGTGGAAAGCAGCATCACTTTGTCTGTGTTGGACACAATGTAAGTTGCATCATTGCCATACACAATCTTGCCAATAATAACCAGTTCATAGTGGCAAGAATGCTGTGATCAGCAATAATGCTTCATTAAATCATGCAAGTTTAAAGGGGCCCAGCAACACTTTTTGAAGTAGCCATGAAATGAATTCACCAAAAGAACTTATTGTCTCATGAATTCACCACTGATTGGTAGAATCTGTCCAGTACGAGCACAGTTACAACGGTTTGTCGCACGCTGCAGTTGCATTGTCGCTTCTCTCGTTCTGAAGAAAGCGCTGGAAAATAAGCAGGTATGCATGGCAAGGAGGAAGTACATACGTCACGCGTGCCTTGTGACCTCAATCACTTTCTCATTTTGTTTTTTGATTACACAGCTTTTCAGTGCGACCGCGCTCACACGAGTGGACAAGTCGCAGCCTCCTGCGGGGGCCCTAGTAACGATTGAGCATGCTGTGCTCTAATCAGCCAATGGCTAATACAAGTGATTTTTTAGTTTGTAGCGTCATTAGTCGAGAAAAGAGAAAGCATTTTTTAGCTGACTTTGAGAATTTATTGGGAATTTCAGCCACGTGCTGAGCTATAATACTTGACTCGCGTTTTCTCGGAAGCCTAGACTGCAGATTGGCAGCGTTTTCTGACCATGCTCAAGAGTGTTGCAGGGCCCCTTCCAGCCAACATGCTCAACCAATTATCAGGTTATTCAACAATTTACGACTGCTTCACCACCATTGTATCGAAACGTGTTGATTGATAGGCTGTGATTTAGGTATTGATTCATAGGCTGTGTAGGTGTTGATTATGTTTAACATAATAGGCTGTGTAGGTGTTGATTATGTTTAACATTAGCAGTTCGCATGGTCTTATTTGCCATTCAGAACTAAATAATTCCTATGGGGCATCTCATAATCATGTTGTACTTTTGGCACACAAAACTTTTTTGTCAACTTTGATTGTATTCTCACACATGCAGGTGGCGCACATGTGCCGTAGTGAGATGGACTACATGGATTCTGCTTTGCTTGGCCCTGGAATGCTTTTCCTCAACCAGTACTTCAACACTTTCATCAACGAGTACATCATCCTGCTTGTCTGTCTGGTAAGTAATGGTAGATCGCTGGTGCCGAAATGGTTGGCGCCCGCCTTGGATTGCTAAGTAGTCGCTGTGTGTTGTGGGGCCCTGAAGTTATCAACTGAGGCTTGTATTTGACTTAGCTTGTTCCTCAGAAGCTTTGATAGCAAAAGCTCGGGATCTCTTTAAAGTGGTTCTAAGCGCTGTATTCAAGTTTATTGGTAGGCTTAGCAGGCCGAGTGTATTGGCCGATTTCACTGCCGTGTGCGGCAACATCATGCTCAGAGGCCATATGTTATAGGTTTATTTGCTTTTTTTTTTAATTTCAATACCTGTTGCTACAAGCATTGCACAATTCATCACAGCACACCCTCCCCCTCAAATTTTACTCTCCTCAACCCCGAAACTAGTGTTGCTCACCTTCATTCTTTTGTTAAGATTGAGGAGAGGGTACGAAGCACAGACACGCCAGCTATAATGAAACAAGTTCTGTCCTAGCCTTGAGGAAGACAAGCTCGCTAATAAAAATGTCCGCTTGACAAAACACTTGTGTACAGATTTTTTCAACCTGACGGCTGTCGCTCATGACAATCAATGTGACGTCGGGCAGGAAACCGGGTTAACATATGTAAGAACGACGTGAGGTTGGCCGGCAACTGTAGTGGCCAGCCCGAACAAGGACAATGAAATTGTTCCGTGTGCACGTTCTTTGCTGTTAGTCTGAAAAGGGGTTTATTGGTGTGTGTTGCGACGGTAGACCTACGATAAAAACACGATCGGGACAGAGCAACGGTCATGCAGATGTCGGCAACGATCAGCACGAGGCGAGCCAGAGAAGCCCAGAACCCAGTACCCAAGCGGTGGCGATGTTGCTTGCCAACAATGCGTTTTCTTCTTCACAATTTTCCCCCGCCGAAAAAGAGCCATCCTGGCGACCTAAGAGTCTGGAGGCAGAGGGCTATAATATGGCTTAAGGCAGGTGACGCGGACGATGTCACGTCCACGCCGGCGCATGTCGTCAGATGGGGAAAGGGGCTGAATGAGAAAATTCACCGGGGAGGTTTGCTTCAAAACGCGGTAAGGGCCCTCGTACTTTGGGACAAGTTTTGAGGAAAGGCCGGGGGTTCGGTAAGGAACAGCCAGCCGTACAAGTGATCCTGGGGAATAGCTGTGGCTTCGTGAAGAGTCGGCGTTGTTTTCTTTTTGGCGCTGCTGCTGTTGTGACGTAAATGTGCGTACGAGTTCACGGCACTCTTCCGCTTTTCGGGCAGCTTCGGACACAGATGGGCATTCGGATGCGTCAGGACGATATGGAAGGGGAGTGTCGATGGTATGGGATGGTTCGCGTCCATAAAGAAGAAAGAAAGGTGAAAATCCAGTGGTAGACTGTGCCGCGGTGTTGTATGCGAACGTGATGAAGGGAAGAATGCGATACCAGTTAGTATGATCAGATGTCACATACCGTATTTACTCGCGTAATCCTCGCACTCGCATAATTCTCGCACCCCCCACATCGCCCAACAAAAATACGATTTCTTTTTTTCCTCGAGTAATTATCGCACCCCCGAAAACTGCCGCAATAATGTCGTCTGCTCGTTCCAGCATGATGATAGCGCGCGCCATCTCTTAAGCATCAAGCGTACTATTGCACGGATTTTCAATCCAATCTAAGCCAAGCCGAAGTGGCCAGTGTGCGTTGTGGCATTTTGTATGTTGTGTCGGTAATTTTGACTCTTTATGGGGCGATACTGAAGCTAAACGGCTGCTTCAAGTTGCGAGTGATAGATCATGCACTAAACAACGGCAACAGGGCCGCCGTTAGTCTATGAGTTTTGTGTTCGCTACTGGTGGCGGCAGCTGAAAGCCACCAAGAGGCATTGGGCCTGCCATATGCCTAAAGCTGGGAATGATGGTAAACTTTATTTCTTCAGAAGGAAACTGCGGACGAATCTGTTAAATAGCTATCAGCCCAATATTGACGTCCTACGCTTACCTTTTGGGGGCTCCTGTTGAGCGACGAACACTACCGCTACGCCCGCAACGCCCACAAGCTTTGTGTATGGCATTCTAGTTCTCGACCATTTGCTTCCACTTTTTGTCTCTCAAATAAATCTTGCCTTGTGTTTAACCTCTGCTTTTATTGTTAAGATAAGTTTTAATTAATACTTCTTAAAGCTTGCTGTTAATTGCTGGTCTGAGAATCCCGATTTGCGGCCACTTTGTTTTCTTTTTTGCTCTGTACGTTTTCGTGGAAAGTTTTCCCCCCTAATTCTCGCACCCCCCAACTTTTCATTGGTTTTACGGCAAAAAAATTGCGAGGATTATGTGAGTAAATACGGTACATCGCGAGCATATCGCTGAGGATGCGGTTAAATCTCTCCATGAGCCCGTTAGTCTGTGGGTGGTATGCCGTGGTCTTGCGATGAACAACATGGCATGCAGAAAGCAGAACCGTGACGACCTCTGATAGGAATGCTCGACCTCGGTCACTTAGTACCGTATTTACTCGCATAATCCTCGCACTTTTTTTTTGCCAGAAAACCGATGCAAAGTTGGGGGGTGCGAGAACTATTACGCGGGGAAAACGTTCCACGAAAACTCGGAGAGTGAAAAAGAAAACGAAGTAACCGCAAATCGGGATTCTCACACCAGCAATTTACAGCAAGCTTTAAGAAGTACTAATTAGAACTTACCTCAACAATAAAAGCAGAGGTTTAACACAAGGCAAGATTTATTTCAGACACAAAAAGTGGAAGCAAATAGTCGAGAATTAAAATACCATACACGAAGCTTGTGGGCGTTGCGGGCGTAGCGGTAGCGGTCGCCGCTCAACAGGAGCTCTCAAAAAGGTAAGCGTAGGACGTCAGTATTGGGCTGATGGCTATTTAACAGAATCGTCCGCAGTTTCCTTCTGAAGAAATAAAGTTTCCCATCAATCCCAGTTTTAGGCACACGGCAGGCCCAATGCGTCTTGGTGGCTTTCAGCTGCAGTCACCAGTAGCGAACACAAAACTCGTAGGCTCCGAAGGGCCTACCGGCAGCCCTGTTGTCGTTGTTTAGCGCATGATCTATCACTCGCAACTTGAAGCAGCCGTGTGGCTTCAGTATCACCCCATAGCGTGCCAAAATTACCGACACAACATACTAAACACACCGCAGCCCGTGCTGGCCACTTCGGCTTGGCTCGGATTGGGTTGAATCTACGTGCAATAGTACGCTTGATGCTTAAGAGATGGTACCAGATGGTGTGCACTATCATCATCAATGCCTGGAAAGAGCAGATGACATTATTGCGACAGTTTTCAAGGGTGTGATAATTACTCGAGGAAAAAAAAATCGTGTTTTTTCTTAGGTGATGTGGGGGGTGCGAGAATTATGCGAGTGCGAGGATTACGCGAGTAAATTCGGTAGTTCTCGAGGTGCACCGTGTCGTAGTATGAAGTGCTGGAGGACGAAGGAGACTACGTCCCGCGCAGTGGCACTTAGAGGGGCGACGGTCTCAGTGTAGCGTGTTAAAAGGTCCACAGCCACTATAATCCACCGATTTTTATTTGATGTGGTCGGTAGAGGGCCATAGAGATCAATTCCGATCCGATCGAAAGGTTCGGCAGAGCACGGAAGCGATTGAAGTGCACCGGACAAGTGGTGATTTGCGGCGTTGACAGTCAGGGCAGCTCATAATGAATTTTCGAACAAAATTATACAGAATGCGTTCGTAAGTTTTGAAAACTCCGGCATGGACACATTGGGGATCGTCATGAAACGCGCATATTTTTGATCGCAAGCTACGGGGGACAACCAAGAGCCACTTGCGACCTTCAGGGGCGTGGTTGCGTCGGTGTAGCAGCCGATCACGAAAGGGCGAAATGAGCAGCCTGACGTCGCAGAGATCGTGATACAGCAGTGGTTGACGGTCCAGAGAGGCAGTCAAAAAGGGAAGCGATCCGGGAGTTTTTGTGTTGTTCACTGGGAAAGGAGTCGAGGTCAAGAGATGCGACGGAGTTGGTACCAGTGGTTTCACAGGCCGAGTCGGGAGGTAAAGGCGAACGGGACAGGGCGTCTGCATCAGAATGCTTGCGACCGCTGCGACAGATGACGCGAATGTCGTACTCGTAGATTTGCACTGCTTGCCGAGCTAGGTGGCCAGACGGATCTTTCAATGTGGCGAGCCAACAAAGTGCATGGTGGTCCGTTAATAGGTCGAATGGGCGACTGTACAAATAAGGGCGGAACTTGCGAAGCACCCACACTAGCGCTAAGCATTCCTTTTCACTGACGCTGTATTTGGCCTCAGCTTTAGTGAGCGTGCGACTCGCATAAACGACGACATATTCGGAGTAGCCTGGCTTGCGTTGGGCGAGGACAGCGCCAAGACCAACCACGCTAGCGTCTGTGTGAACTTCCGTTGTAGCTTTTGGGTCGAAATGCCGAAGAATGGGAGGAGATGTTTGTTAGCAGACTACGGAGGGTAGCAAACGCGACGTCGCAGTCAGGAGACCAGGATGAAAGGTCTGCACCTCCGCGTTGAAGGTTGTTCAGTGATGACATGATCGACGCAAAATTTCGAGCGAAGCGCCGGAAGTACGAGCATAGTTCGACGAAACTGCATAATTCTTTCAGTGTAGTAGGTTTCGGGAACTCAGCAACTGCTCGCAATTTTGCAGGGTCGGGTAGAACACCATGCTTGGACACAATGTGCTCTAAGAAGGACAGCTCTCGCCTGGCGAAGCGGCACTTTTTAAGGTTCAGTTGGAGCCCAGCGTTGGTTAAACACGTCATAACCTGTTGGAGCCAAAGCAGATGTGTAGGGAAATCGGGAGAGAAAACGACAATATCGTCGAGGTAGCATAGACACACAGAACACTTCAGTCCACGCAGCGTGTTGTCCATGAGTCGTTTAAACGTGGCAGGAGCATTACAAAGCCCAAAAGGCATTACGTTAAATTCGTACAGGCCATCTGGTGTAATGAACGCAGTTTTCTGGCGATCGGCTTCTGCCATAGGAACCTGCCAGTATTCAGATCGTA